GAAAAAGCTTCAAAACTATTTTGAGCATAGTAGTGTGTCACGGATCAAATATGTGGGCATAATCATATGAGAGCAGATAAACCCACAGAATTTGTAAAATGTGGCATCGGTAAACTTGCCAATGCGTACTTGCGGTAATGACTTTACTGAGTGACGAATCACAACCGCCACGTCGCAGCGTTGTTAAGCAAATTTTTGTAATTTTTGTAGGCCGAACGCTTGCCAGAGGAAAACCCATCACGTCCTGGCACATCAGCCGACCGACCGGACATTGACAAGGTTGCATCTAACCGATCGTCCTCGCAATTATTCCCAGTCATGTTTCGCCAATTTGTTTCCTATGGCTGTGTGGTTGCCTTAACCACAGTCTACCGCACGTGGTTGGATGTTGAAGTCGGACGACGCAAGTGACTTGTATTGATTGGGTTATTTTTCCGGTTTCTTTTAGTGTGTCAGGGTTGCGAAGTGCGGACGATTTCATTGTTCCGTGTTGCTTCCCTGGTAATGGTAGCGATAGTGGTTTGTAGGAATGTCCTTAAAGGGGTTCCGTGCAGAAAAGTTTAGCATTTTATATAAGGGAGAAAGGAAAATCCGACCGTGCAAACTGCCAAGGAAATTGAACAGGTCTATATTAATGTATAAATTCAAATTTTTGTTAGCTTTGTGGTGGTTAAAAGCAATGGCATGACCGAATATGTTATATAACGAATCTGTTGCTTTACATGCAAGTACGCGACCCGATATTTGTTGAATGGGAGACAAATGCCGTCCAAATTGACCTGGCGTACGCAACTGTGGTCCTGTGTTGAAACTGGGAATATCAGATTTTGTTAACCGGTGAATGTGTTAAGGAACACAGAAGAGCATAGCAAATAGTGGAATATGCGATTAAGATGTGGGCTGAGCAATCGGTCGGCAGTGTTGGAGCTTCCCGTTCGAACATGTGTGAGAGCCAGTGGAGTTGCTACGAAGGGTTAGAGATCCATGAGAATAAAAACGTAACATGTTTAGTAAGCAAATGCCAGAAAAATAGCTGAGTGCTGGTGTAAGACGGAGGGTCGGAGCAATCGCAACGAGAATAGAAGGGACACTATACTACAGCTTTAGTGAGAATACGGTTGCATAGCCAGCTGTGAAAAGGAGCTGGATTAGAGGAGAAAGCTAGTCAGCAGCGCTAAAAGATACCAATTTTGACACTTCTAGTTGGACTTCTACAGTACGACATACAACTCAAATAGAGAGCAGGAAAGAGCATTATTGGGAGTCGGATTAATCATGAGGAAGCAACTGCCCGCTGTCGTAGGGCGGGGCACGGGCTTATAGGTATTCAACACTGAAACAGGAGAGGGAAGTGGTGGAGTATATACTACGGCTGTAGTGCGAAAGCGGTTGCAGAGCCACCTCTGGAAGGGACCAGTAATAGCAGAAAAGTATGTGCAGTAGCAGCAAAAGGTAACGAGGTGTTCCACTCTAAGGTGGACATCTACGGGGGCACGTTAACGACACTTTACAGCTAAGGAGTGCGTTACTGGTAACCCGCTTTATTAATAATAAAGTACGACACGATATTTAGGCTCAGGCATGGACTACCAGGTATACATTGTTGAAAAAAAATGGAGATCAAACCACACTACTTTCACCAGCTGTACCGAGCAAACGGTTGTTGGGCCAGCTCCGGGAAGTGATCATGGGCAAGGGAATGATAAAGGCAGCACCGGTAAACGATTCAAAGGGTTTCACGCAAACGTTTGCTTCTACAAAGGGACATTCAACTCTAATAGGTCGGCAGTGATGAGTAAAGCTGTGTAGTGGATTATTTATGAAGCTTGAGCCGCGCGCTACCTGGGGTTGTGGAACGTACTAATAAAAACCAGGAGCGATAATACACGGCAGTCCATACTACAGCTATTGCGCGAAGACAGTTGCCCAGTAAGCTCTGAAACGGGCGTGAGGCAGCGGAATAATTTGAGCAACAGCGTCAAAAGGTACTAAGTGTTTCACTCTAAGGTGGACTTCTACAGTAAAGCATATAAGTCAACCAGCTGGTAGAGAAAGGTAAAGGTGCATGGCCGGTTCCTTGGGAAGCAGGAGGTGCTAGCTATCCGAACGAGAGGCATATAACGAAAAGCATTTAATATTGAAAACTGGAGTGAAAGGAGGGGGACTACATACTATAGTTGTCGTGAGGAAACGGTTGCAGAGCCAGCTCTGAAAGAGAGTTGGGGTAGCAGAATTATATGGGCTTCATCGCCAAAAGTTAATAACTGTTCCACTCCAGGTGGTCTAAAACAGAGAAAAACACAAATCAAACAGACCGCAGAAAAGAGTAGTGGTGGAAACCGGATTTATTGTGAACCAGGAGCCTGCAGATTTTGTAAGATGTGACATGGACTAATTGACCATCAAAGTTAAGAACTGGAGCGAGAATGGATGCGATTGCATACTACAGTTGTAGTGAGAAAATAGTTGCAGCCGAGGCTTTAAACGGGACTATAGGTAAGCGGATAAGACAGGCATCGGCGACAAAATATGCAAAGTGTTCCATCCTAAGATAGACGTCTAAAGTGCGTTTATAGCTACTTTTGAATAACGTAAACCTACCGCAGTTATCGCAAATTCACTGCTAACCAACTGATTTTATAAGCTAATTTAGCGAAGTTATATCGGCATAGCCGTATGCCTTGACAGCTCTATTTTAGTTGAGAAGGTTATTTATGTGCTTCGCTGTTGCTTGATATCCCAGGTGTGGCTGCGCTTGATGTGAATGTTAGAAAGGTACCTACCCGTCTAAGACCCACTACCTGGGCTGTACTGGCTCCAGGAGACAGCTGGTCGTTACAGGAGGGGACGGGGTGCACGGTCCTTGTGGCTGTGCTAGGCTCGAAGAGTGGTTCCATGCAACCTGCGTGGAACGGGCTACGGTCAGTTACCGCATTCTGTGTGCGCTTGGTTCCCAAATACAGCGTGCTTGTGTTTGCCTGTGAAGGAGGGTTGGCCGGCTCCGTTGATGAAGCGGGGCTCCCAAGCGCACTCCTCCCAGTCTTATTGCTTCGGGTTTACCCCGGATGTGGGGTGTGCGGAGGGCGCAGCGCGAGCCAACCGTGGTTCCGTTGAAGGCGCCGAGGTTCTGTGACTGGCTACGGTGACAAGCAAATCTAAAACGGGACACAGCCAATCATCCGAATTTGCCACTCGAACTGGCAACTAAAGTTGTTGAGCCGGTAACAGGCTTGTTCGAAAAGTCATGCTAGCTGCGCGTTACCTACTGACTGGAAGGTACCTGAAGTTTGTCCCCTCTTAAACAATGGTGACAGCCACATTGTAATTTACAGTCCCTTTATTTTAACCAACGCGCTGGTTAAGTTGCTATAAAAGCTGGGGCGTGCTACCCACCAAAACCATTTCAGAGAGTATGAATTTCATAGTTTATTTCAATACGGTTTTTGCATGCGATATTCCTGTCTGACCAATCTCCTGGTTGCACGAGAGAGCTGGGCGGAGTCTTCCGACCTGGGCCAATCGGTGGGCTTACAGTTCCTTGACTTTTTCAAAACTTTTCACTTTGTACCACCTTCTCTACTTTCCCTTATAATGCGTTCCTGCGACGTGTTCGGACACATGCTTTAACTGCCATTAGCTTTGCTTGAAGGACGAGAAAGGTGTACTCAATTAGGCACTAGGCATTCCTTCCGACAAGCTGTTTAGAGCGGCGTCCTTCAGGGATCAGTCCTAGGCTCACTGCGGTTTGCTGTGTACGTTAACAAAGAGCCGAATTAGCCGAGAGTGCCAAACTAGATGTTCGACGACGACTTGAAGTTGTGGTGCAAGCTGAGCGACGCTGGCAACCTCCAGCCTTTGCAACAAGCTCACGGTAGAATGCTCGATAGGTCCGTTCTGCGGCAAATGCCAATCAACATCAAAATGTGTTCATTGATGCTCGTAGCATAAAATGGCCCGCGACGCATTACGTGTTTGGAGGGAACGCATTACCTAATATCTCCTAAGACCTTGACCTAGTGATCAGCATAACTCCGGATTTCAAATTCAGCGAGAACTAGACATGAGCGGGTAACAAGAGCTACTGAACGTTCTGGCTTGTTCATAGATTAGTTTAAAAATTTACGGCATTTGCTAGACCGCACATGGAATACTGCGTCCAGACTTGTCCTCCTTGTTTGACTCGTGACAGGATGGTGGTAAAGCAGATCTTGTGGAAACGTACCAACATGGTCCGAAGGCTGCAGCACCGGTGCTAACCTGACAGACTGCACCGGCTAAACATATTCGCCCTAGATTTTCGTCTTTCTCGTGGCGAGTTAGTACTCAATTATGCTTTACTAACAGGGCGGATCGGCCCAGAGCTATCCTGGCTTTTTCATCCAGCTCAATTATCTACGCTTAATAGGCGTCCTCTGAAGGTGCACAAATCAAACTGATCTGTTTCGGGCTGACACCCTTTTGTCGCTTAGAGTGATAGTTTATTGAAATGCGCTACCCGAGGAAGTCGTATAGTCAACCAAGGTGACAGCTTTCAAACGATGCTTTGACGCCCTCAACTTGCAGCTCAGTATTTTCCCTTTTTTTAATTCGTCATTCGGTTGCTCCTCAGTTCCAAACCTTTTGAATTATTCGTACCAACTTCTCTTCTCTCCAACTTCATACCTAGACTACCACGTTACTCTTCCTTTAGTGCACGTGGCCATGCACCATGGTCTGTTAGCGCATGGCGCGTAGGTAGTGCTCGGTTGAACACGAAGTGTACTGCACATGCCAATATGGCACATGTAACGCCTAACGTGCACGAACTCGATCGCGGGTCAACAACGCAATCCGGGTGGAACGAAGATAGGAAGCGCATTTCGTTCCTATCCCAGTTGCATTTGTAGCTGAATTTGACCAATGCAAGCAAAGGAATAATCTGTGAACTTACAAGTATTTTCCTTTTACTCTTTACATTTATGAATTCTAGAATGGACGCCACAGTTGAACGTTACGTTTTTGTAACAATCCAGCGGTTTAATTACGCAGATCCTTTTATCTGCGGATAGCTCCAGCCGAATGTACTCTTCCTTAGCTCGATGGAATGTTCCTTTGATCAAGAGTGAGTTGCTATTATTTTCCGCACCTTATATCACTTCTCCTTATTTTCGAAGATTTATGTGTGCTTTTGACATGCATTGAGCATGACGATAGTTTTTCATACCATACAGCACACGAAAACACTAAAGCAGAAGTATTCTTGCCCTTATATAAAGCAGTGGTCAGGCCACATCTGGAGTATTGTGTTCAGGCCTGGTCACCGTACCTCCGGAGTGACCTCATTTGTATAGAAAAGATTCAGAAACTTGCGACTAGGGTGATTGAAGGTCAACGAGGGAAGTCTTACGAAGGTCGTCTAAGTAGCTTAGTTGGATCTGCATAAGAATAAATTACAACTTGATTCCAATCCCACTCAATACGAATCTCCTCGCATCCGATAAACAATTTCAGTTTCAGAGAAAACTTGTACATAATGATCGGTCCAGGGTCTCTGGAACGTGTCTCACCTTTCTGAGAAATATACCTATTATTATTATTATTGTTATTATTATTATTATTATTATTATTATTATTTTCCTTGGAACGGCGCAGGATGAGAGGGGATTTGATAGAGACGTTTAAGATCATTAAGGGGCTTAGTGGTATTAGTTGCACCCATCTGTTTGAGTTGGCTACGTCAGATCATCTGCGCGGGCATCGCCTGAAGCTCAAACATCACAGAGCTCGTTTGGACATCTGGGCAAAGTATTTTACGAACCAAGTAGTTAACTACTGGAATAAACTTCCTTCTGATTTAGTGGAGTCTGAGACCGTGGTTGCCTTCAAAAGGGGCTTAGACAATCGTTCGTCCATCCTTTTTCCAGAGATATTGTAGTTGTACCGGTATATATAGTTTATTTTGATGCTGGCATATGAAAATGCAGAGATTGCTCTTGTTCTTGCTTCATTCCATTGCAGAAGCAAGAAGAGACAATCCAACATCGAAGGGCCGGGGGCCGCTTCACTTACCGGCACAAGAACTAGACGCTCGTTAGGCGGAAGCCTCTATCGTCCATCTGACCTGACCTGACCTGAAGACGTTCGTTAGCATGCGAAAGTTGTGTTCCCCAGATTCAGGTGGGACTGGAACCATAGGAAAATCCATTGAGTGTTTCTTCTTGAGCGGATCGTTGAGTCAAGAAATGATAAGGTGCTACGAGGTCTTGATGAATCTAAAACGACGCACCCGAACCACACTCTGGTCCACCAATTACTGCCCACGTTCCCCGCACCAGCAGTCCTCGCTGTATAGGTCGCGTGAAGTAGAGAAGACGTAGAAAGAAAACGAAAAATAAAGAGGAATAAATGTCATTTAAATGGAAGATAACACCAAAGATTGAGGAGAATGACAAAATATGAACTCAAAGTTTTAAGATGAATATGATCAGGATAAGGGAAAGGCTTCGTGTTGCCAACCAAGTGCCTCTAACTGAGGCTCGAAACCCTTAACCGTAGGTTCACTGACTACACTTTCTGGAAGCGAGTTTTAGCGCTCAATAACTCTACGCGATAACCGAGTTTCCGCCCTGATCCACTCGGAATGCGGCTTGTGTAGCTTCATGGGATGATTGCGAAGACAAGGCTACCTAGCCGGGCTAAATAGCCAGCTCATGTCCGGTCCAACCTACCTTGTTAAAATGCGGTAAGTAAGGATTAGATCTCCTCGAAGCCGTCGGTAGTGCATTGAATACGTACCCAAGCTAAGTAGACGATCGGGGTACTATTGTCCCCGTAACTCCTCGACCAATGTTGTAACTACTATCAAAATCCTCTCGAGCTTTATTTTGTCCCGAATAAGGCAGACCGGGCAAGCCTGGACGCAGTATTCCAGATGGAACCGAACGAATGCTGGGAACAGCTTCACAAATATGTCGGCAGTTAAGATCCCTAAAGAACGGCGTATTAACCACAACATTCTGATACCCTTACTTGCGGCCTTCTTCCAGTTGTCACCAGAATGCAAAGACGATGAATGAACGACGCATACGTCTACCTGGTTGGAGACAAAGGGGAATTCGACCCCACCGAGCACGTATCTCGAAAGTGGGAAAGTTGCTACTATACGAAGGACGGAACACAGCCTGATTAATGGGCAGTAGCCACAAAGTAGACCAGTCCCAAAGTCTGTCCAGGACATGCTGAATAATTTCAGAACTTCCAGGGACATTTACATTCCATAGCTTAATATCATCAACAAACAATAGGGATGATACCCCAAGCTGTCCAGGGAGATCTTTTACGTAAATCGAGAACAGCATCGGTCCAAGGAGCGAGCCCTGTAGGCCACCGCTAAGGACCACTTGCCTGACGGATAAGTTGTGACCCACACGTAAACACTGCTCTCTTCGCTGCAAGAACGCAGATACCCAGTGAAGGGCGCGGCCAGATATGCCGTAGGAGCTCAGCTTTTGTGATAGCCTCAAGTCGGGTGCCTTATCACATGCTTTCGATAAGTTGACGAAAGTACACCCACTACGTGGCCATTGTTCACTGCCTCGGCCCAAGCTTTACGAGCAATCAACTAATTCGTCAGACACGAAAACCCCTTCCGGAACCCGTGTTGTGCACCGCTGAGTAGATTAAATTTATTCAGGTGACCTTCCAACGCATCTCTCACCAGCTTTCCATGCAGTCTGACAACGACGCTAGTCAGACTAAATGGCTTATAATTGGCTGACAGTCTCGTGTCGCTATTTTTAAAAGTAGGACAGATGACAGCCTCCTTCTATTCAGAAGGTGATGTACAGCTGTCAAGTGACCTTTGAAACACCATCGTCAGCGGTCCACTTAGTTCCACCGCTAATTCATGCTGAAGCTTCGGGTGAATTGAATCAGGTCCAGCTGCTTTAGAAGGGTTTCCTTCTTGCAGCAGCCTAGGGACTTGCGTTACCACCACAGTAAATTCAGCTAAATAAGTACCCTTGGGTACTCTGGGGACAAGCTCAACGCGTCACCGCGGCCTTACGTACAAAAGCCCCTGCATGATACTCACCAAGTACACGAGCCTTGTCTGAGTCCCCATACGTATGAGTCCCGACGGCGTGTATCTAAGTTCGAATTACCGCATTTGAACCAGTCTCTTAACATAAGCAAAGAAATTCTTCGGATTTTCCGAAGCTCCATCAGCCAATTCCTTTTCGTACAACCGCCGAGTTTTCCTTAAGTGTTGTTTACATTTATTTCTAACCTTGCGGTACCTACCATAAGTGCTACTTGATGGAACTCCCCGGTAGGTTCTCCAGCACCTAGAACGCTTTTAGAGCAGGTACTTTCCAGTGCTATCTGTCCACGGGAGCCGTGCTCGTGTCTCTTTTCTCCTCGCAAGCGGGATGTAGGGAGTAGACACTTCAGTGGGATAAGATTTAAAGTTACCCAAGGCCGCCTGAACCGTATCGGCCACCGAGATTTTGCAACACAACCCAGAAACCTTGATACACATTGCTTGATAGTTAGCACGCCGTATGTTTGGATATGGCTCAGCGATGCTCTGCTGACGTCTGGTCAGAGTACACCTGTATGATACAGACATGATCACTAGCACCTAAGGGAGAGCTGTAAGTGATGTCACCTACACAGTCTAGTGACTTGGCAAAAACTAGATTTAAAATAGACGGTACTTGGGTATCCGTGTACATAGTGGGGAGGTCCGCGAACTGATGCAACGGTACTTGTAGCGTAAACTCGAGAAGATCTGCACCGAAAGTCCCTTCTGCCGAGTTGGAAAAATGATCTACCCAGCCAACTTCCGGTAGATTGAAGTCCCCCAGTATCAAAGACCTGTTTGCGGATTGGGAACGAATAAAACCAAGCACCACTTTGGACGCAGTCCAATGAGTTCTATCCACAATCACAACTGTAAGTTGGGCTGAGGAAGTGCTAATCACTACCGACAGAGCTTTGACAGTTTTATCTGCCGGCTGAAACATGTGGGTACGCAAAACGTCGAGTCCACAGCTAACGCAATGCGCAACACCCCCCGCCTTGTCGGCAAACGAAGCGATCACATCTAACTTGTACGTCGCAACGAGGCTGGACCTTAACGTGGTGCGACGGTTTGCGTACCTCATTGACCCATTGAGCTATACTGGGTGATGCCTCCGAGCATCTTGTGAGCTACTCCTACCATGTTGGTCAATGGTGAGAGGTCAGACAAACTCAGTCTCCTGGTCCTCCAGGTTGGGGGTTTGAAATGGGATGGCGTCCATTTCTGTAAAACTAAATCACTGCCACCCCGCTGCCTTGCGGACAGGCTTTTGAGCCAAAGGCTTTGGATGAGGACCCTAATCGTTCTCCTGTCTAGGTCTGGGCGCCCTGGCAGTATCCCAGCCCACATACAACCATGACATTTTCTTCCAACATAAACTTCATCCTGCATCGGCCGTCGCGCAGATTATCAAGGGTCACCTTATCTGCTGCATACAGCAGGGCGGATAAGCGAAAGCATGCTACTGCTGGCGCCTCCCTTCTTTCTTTTCCACCTTTTTCTCTTACTCCCATCCCGGCCCCCATTACTAACCTCCCTTCTATAATTCCCAGCTTAATTGACAGCAACCGAAGTGCTACTGGAGTAGTACCATCTGCAGCCACCATCCCACAGCACCTATCGGACGCCTATCGGCAAAAGTCCCTTATAAAGCCACACGGTCCCGTTTCCATGGCGACATTCAACGTTCGCACTCTAAGACAAACAAGTCAGCAGGCTGCACTCGCGCGCACCTTGGACACACTGGGTGTTGATGTGTGTTGTGTGTCCGAAACTAGGATTAATGATCCTAACGGGGTTATTGAATTGACTGCATCCGGCTTATCCTCTCGTTATTGGTTGCACGCATCCGGAGACGCCGATGCGGCACTCACGGGTCAAGCTGGTGTAGGTATCATTCTCAGCTCCAAGGCTGAGTTATCGTTGGTTGATTGGATTCCGGTGAACAGCCGTTTATGTGCAGCCCGTTTGACGACATCAGCTAAGGTGAATTAGCGAAGTAGTACAAAACGTTGTTTGTTTGTGATTTCCGTTTATGC